GGGGGAGCAAGCCCACGACCCAGGCCTGTGCCCTGACTGGAAATCCAACCTCCATCTCCTGGATCCCAGGTCGACGCTCAACCCCTGAGCCAGCCAGGCAAGGACATTTTTTCCATTGATTTTTAGGGAGAGTGGAAGGGAGGCGGGGAGAGAGAGAGAGAGAATTATCTATGTGAGAGAGACACATCGATTGGTTGCCTCCCTCATGTGCCCTGACCACGGCCAGGAACACACCTGCAACCCAGGTGCATACCCTTGATCGGGACTTGAACCTGTGACCTTTCCGTACGTGGGCCGACACTCTAACCACAGAGCACACAGGCCAGGGCTCTTTAAGGATATTTTTAATTCAATTTTTGATTAGGTAATACAGTCACATTTCAAAAACGAAAGCAAAATATATATAGGCAGCCCTGGCTGGGTGGCTCAGTTGGTTGGAGTGTCGTCCCAAGCACCAAAAGGTCATGGGTTTGATTCCTGGTCAGGGCACATGTCCAGGTTGTGGGTTTGATCCCTGGTCGGGGTGCGTGCAGGAGGTAACTGACTGAGGTTTCTCTCTAAACTAAAAAAGAAAAAAAAAAGAAAAAAAGGTTAAAAAAATATGTAATACAGGCAACTGGGAACAATCTGCCTCAGACCCCTATCTTCCATCTGCCCCCTTCTCCCCACCACACAGAGATGAAGTCTTTTTACTTGTTTCTTATGAATGTTTCTAGTTTCCCACATATAAACCCAAGTAAGAACAAGGACATATTCTTTCTTCCCATTTTTAAACTGTAAGTCAGCATGTTACTCAAAAGTTAACCATAGCGCCCTGGCCTGTTTGGCTCCGTGGTTAGAGTGTCAGTCTGTGCACTGAAGGGCTCTCGGCTCGATTCCAGCTAAGGGCACCTACCTTGGTCGAAGACTCCACCCCTGACCCTGGTTGGGGCGTGTGCGGGAGGCAGGTAATTGATGTGCCTCTCACATCCGTCTTTCTCTCTCTCTCTCCCCCTTCCACTCTCTCTGAAAAGCAATGAAAAAAATACCCTCAGGCAAGGAGTAAACAAGAAAGTGAAGCACGTTGCCCACCAGGTGCCCTGGAGCTCTGCCCCTGCGGGCGCACTGCAGCCTCCTGCTCCTTTCCAGCCGCGTAGTCTTCCCTGAGTGGCTGCCACGGTGTCCGAGCAGAGGACTAGACGGCGCCGTTCCCTTTCATACACAGTTCTTCACTAATGGCTATTTGGATCATTTCTAAATGCAGCTGCTGTCTCAGCTGCCGATTCTTCTATCTTCAGGGTATAGTAATTATCTAGCCAGTTCCCTGTTGTTGAGCATGTAGGTCAATCTCCAATTTCCCATCACATGGGATTATGTTTATACATATCCACCTGCGTGATTATCTTCTGAGAAAAGTTACACCAGCAGCAACACCTACTGAGTGTCCCTTCCAGGCCAGGTGCTGTGTAGAGTGCTCCGTGTGCATGACTTCGTTAATCCTCGCACCCACCCTGAGAAGCAGGGGTCATACAAATGAGGGGCTGGGCTTTGGAGAGACTGAGAACTGTCCTAAGTTCTCCTTGGTGGTGGATCATGGAGCCGGGATTCCAACCGGGGTGAGGTTAAATCCAGAGTCTGACGTCTGGGTGGAGGACAAGCCCCTGTGGCGGCCCTGACAGGGGCCTCCTGAAGGGGTGGGCGGGCATCCTCCCCAGAAGACCTGGAGGCCTTTGGAGATCATTGGGAGTAGATCGAGGGCTGAACCTACATCACAGAGAGACAGGCAGGGTATCAGACAACAGGGAGCAGTGTGGGTGTGGCAAAGTGGAGATTAACCGCCTGTCCAAAGGGGGGGCTGCTGCTCACTCCAGCTGACTGTTCCATATTGGAGACCTGTTCTGGGTTCTCTGAACAGGAGCTATTTCAATAGGAGCTGGAAATAAAAGAATAAAGTGAGGTCTTCTGATATTGAAGTGATGGCAACTGATTAAAAAACACAATTATGTGTGTCTGCCACTAACTCTTCAATGGTTAGGGGAGAAAGAGAGAGGATCTGGCAAACTGTTAACAGTTGATGGGTCCAGATAAAGTTCATATGCATATTCATGGCAGGGTTTGGGCCATTTTTCTGGAGATCTAAATTTTTTCAAAATAAAAACTGAGGGAAAAAGAGATAAAATGAAACTGATTCAAAAAAATTTAGCCTATACGACATTTTGGAGCTGGTTGGGTACCTGAATGTGGACCATGTATTAGATGTCTGGAATTACTGCTTTTTTCTTCGGTAGGATAACCGTATCATGCTTACAAGGAGAAAGTCTTGTTCTCAGGCGATACATGCTGAAGGGTTAGGAGCAAAAGATTATGATGTCAGTAACTTACCTTAAACGATTCAGAAAACAATATATGTCTACATGGGGAGAGAGAGAAGCAGAGCGAGCGAGCAGAGGGGTCAAGTGTGGACGATGGTCGTCTCAGGCTTCAGTTGCTTATGTGCTTGAAATTTTTCATAATAAAAACTGGGGAAAGGGGTAGGGAGAAAGCAATCATGGGGTAAAACGAAATGTATGTGGGGGCTAGAAATGGCTCCGAGTTTGCCAGCTGTCATTTAGCCCAATTCACTCACACTGCAAGATAGGGAAACTGAGGCCCAAAGCAAAGGAGAGTGTGCCCCTTTTCCCACTGGTTTACCTTCCGAATTTGTTCTCTTCACCCAGTGTGAGTGGGTGTTTGGGCTGGTGGGGATGAGACCGTAGTTAGCACTTGCCCCCTTTGGTTCCCCTCTTTCCTCACAGAGCTCAGTGAGGGCGGTTCTATTACAGGTCACATTACAGAGCTGGAGACTGAGGCCCAGAGAGGAGAAATGGGCTGAGCTGCACATCGAGTGGGGAGTGAAGCTGGTCCTCTGGGCCTCTCTCCTTCCCTTCTGTATCTAGAATGAGAACATGGTTTTGGAGTCCACAGGGCCGGCTCTGCTGCTGGCTTTGCTGTGTGAACCGGGGACTCACCTATCTTCTCTGAGGCTCCTGCCCCCTGCCCTGTACTCAGTCAGCACTATCACATGCCCCTCTGCCCTTGCAGCCCCTGAAATCTGAGCATCTCCAGCCACTGTACCCACCCAGGCAGCCCACAGGGCCCTAGGCCCTGCCTCCAACCCTCTCCCCAGCCCCAGCCCCACCTACCGGCTGCTCTCCCACAAGCCTCCCTGCAGGTCTGTGTCCCCTCCTGTTGGGGTTGCCGCCAGCCTTGGAGCCAGCGTGCCACCTTTCTGAGCCTCAGCTTCCTCTTCTGTAACAGCAGTAATGGCCCCAACTGTTTTGGGCTTTTTTTCTTAAACAGGCTTCCTTCGCCTTCCCCCAGCTTTAATAAGGTGTGATTTATATACAATAAAATTCACCCATTTAAATGTAAGTTTGATGATTTCCGACCAATGTATACAAATTTGTAATGATCACCACAAAAGCCACCTAGAACCTTTCGTTTTACTTTCAAATTTCCTTTATGCCCCTTTGCAGTTAATTCCCCCTTCCCCCAGCAGCAACCACTGACCTGTTTTGTGTAACTGTGGTTTTGCCTTTTCCAGAATGGCACACAAATGGACTCGTACTGAATGCTGCCTTTTCAGTCTGGCTTCTTGGACTTGGCATAATGCACTTGAGACTTACCCACGTTGTTGCCTCTTTCTGTAGTTATTTCTTTTTTGTTGCTGAGAAGTATTCCACAGGTCAGTGTTCCACAATTGGTTTTTCAGATTCATAGACTTTCAAGTTCTTTGTTTTAGTTATAATGAGTAATTCTATAAATATTTGCATACAGGTTTTTTGGTGTGTTTTTTATTTCTCTTGGGAGGGGAAGGGCTGGGTTGTAGGTGGGTGTATATTTGATTTTATGAGACTAACAAGCTGCTTACCAGGGTGGTTGGCCATTTGGCATTACCACCAGCAATGTGAGAGTTCCAGCTTTTACATATCATGTCCCATGCTTGGAATTGTCAGTCTTTTTACTGTTAGCTCATTCTATAGGTGTGTAGTGGCTGCTGACCATGGTTTCTGTTTGCATTCCCCTAAAGACTAATGAAGATAAGCTCACTTGCCATCCAGGATCTTCTTCTTCTTCAAATATATCTTTATTGATTTCAGGGAGAGAGGGAGAGAGGGCGAGAGAGAGAGAGAAAGAGAAACATCAATGATGAGAGTCATTGACCGGCTGCCTTCTGCATGCACCCTGCTGGGGATCGGGCCTGCAACCCCGGCTTGTGCCCTGACCAGGAATCGAACCGTGATCTCCTGGATCCTAGGTCGATGCTCAACCACTGAGCCACTCCAGCCGGGCCGGATATCTTCTTTGGTGAGGTGTCTGTTAAAGTCTTTCGCACATTTAAAAAATTGGGTTATTTGTTTTCTTATGATTGAGTAGTAAAAATTCTTTGTATTCCAGGTATAAGCCTTTATCGGAGATGTGATTTGCAAATATTTTCTCTCCAAGTTGTTTTGAGAATTAAATAACATAATAAACACTCAGTGAGTGCTCTTATCATTATGATTCTTATTACTACTGTTATTTTATGACTCTGTTTTGTCATGTGGCTAGAAAAAGACCTCATGTCTCTCAGGCCAGAGCTCCCAGTGGCACCTGCCAGTGGAGGCTCCTTGGTGCCAAAAACCTGGCACTCGGGTCCTCTCTGTTGGAATTCCGAGGGAGACTCAGCCTCCACTGGAGCCCAAGATATCTCCCTGTTGTTTGTTGTTTGTAACTGTCATTTATAAAAACCAGCCAGCTGGCTTCAGCTGCTTGGCTGGGCCCAGAGGACTCTTTGGAGACGCCCCCTCCACCCTGCCCACAGGACAAAACCACACCCCTCCCATCTCCCAGCCAACACGATGGCCCCTGACGCTGGTTGTGCACAGACATGTCCCCTCATTCGAACTTCACCACACACCCAGTGTCTGATTCCCATTTGTCAGATGAGACAACTGGGGCTTGAAGTCCTACAGCCCAGAGGGGTGGCACAGGTTTTCTTGCATAGACATTATCATTTGAGCATACCCTCATTCAGCAAATGTTCAGTTTGCACATATTGCCAGGCTGAGTAGAAAACAGCTGGAGGCACACGGTGACCATTTATTGAGCACCTAGTAGGTGCCAAGCACTGGGCTCTGCATGAAGTATCTCACTTGAGGGAGCAGCTCTTATGTCCCATTTTACAGGTGAGGAAACTGAGGCTTGGAGAGACCAAGTGACTCACTCAATAAATTAGTGGTAGAGCAGGATTTAAACCCAGGCATGCTGTCCTCTCAGCCTGAGTGCTTGACTGTGGGCCCAGCTCATGGTCTCTGCCTCTTCCGTGATGCCTGCCCAGACTGTGTGGCCAGCAGTTCTGGGCACCCAGGCATGGCATGGTGCATCCTCACTGACCATCACAGCAGCCCAGTTTCAACCTCCATTCCCATCTCCCTTCAAATTCATTATGGCTCCCCATCTCTTCCCACCCTTATCCATGAGACAGTACTGCTTCTTGGACTACCCATCCCACTCCAGTATCACTCTATTATTTAAAATCTTCCCACTGGAAACAGGCTGACTCCGTCTGTTGGGGCTCCCTATGTGGAGGGTGACATGGCAAGATCTGTTTATATTAAGATGCCCTTTGCCCCAGCGACCTACCTTCTGGGACTGTCTTCCTCACACGTGTCACAAGTGTGGTAAATGATGTTTGCAGGAGGATATGCATTGTAAATGCAAAAGCCTGGAAGGCCTACCAGCAGGGGACCAGCTAAATGCATTGTGGGAGTCATTTGGTGGATTCTCTGTGGATGTGTAAAGGAAGCAGCTGCTCTGTAAAGGAAACAGAAGGACACAGGATCTAAGGGGGATGGTGAGTCGCCCTTCCCTTGTGTGTTTGGGTGAGACTGAACACCCCTGAGGGAAGGGCAGGCTGAAGCTTATCTTTCAGGGGAGCCCACATATCCAGTTCAAGACCCTAGCAGGCCACTGAGTTGGCCCAGATCCGGAGGCCTCCTTCTGCCCCAGGCCTCAGGAGTGGGCTGCTTTCACAGCATCAGGCACACTCTACTCCTCACCCTGACTCTTTAAAGTGAGTACCATTCAAACCTTCACTTTACAGAGAAGGAAACTGAGGCTCAGAGCAGTTCTGAAATCCCATAATTCACTTGGTGTCACACTCTAGTAAACAGAGGAGCCAGAATTCAACCCAGAGGTTCTTAGTAGCCTGTTGTGGGATACTGGTATTCCACCCCCCAGGAGGCCCTGCAGCCTGGACGTGCCTTCCTCTTGCACTGGATGACTGGGAAGCCAAAGATGCACCAGGCCTGGGCCTTTGGGCTCCCTACCCAGTGTGATGATGGCAGCACAGAGTTTTGGGGAGTCCAGAGAAAGCAATTGTAATTCCCCCTGCAGCAGGGGCTTCCTGGAGAGGTGGCTGGCACTCAGCCTAGAAAGATGAAGTACCCATCAAGCTCTTCAACTTAACATGTTCCCCACCGTGCTCACTATCTGCTCCCCACAGTTACTGCCTGCCTGGTTTTATCTTTGTAATTGGCATCCTTCTCCTGAGCTCGGAGGCTCCAAGCCTCCCCATTACTCTGGCCTCCTCCCTTGGCCTCCACCCTTTCCCACCATCCACTGAGGCTCTGAATCTTTTTCAGATCCTGTCCCCACCTTCCATCTCCACACTTGTCCCATCTGGACTTGCTCCAGCCTCCTCACTGGAGAAGATCCCTGCCCTAAGGGGCATGCTGACACACTGGAAAGTGTGGTAGGTGGCTCTGTGAATGGTCACTGTCTGCAATAGATTGCAGAAGGGACGTGGAGGTTTTAAATAATGGCTGCCTGTTCTCTGCCATTCCTCCCATTTCCAGGTGGGGTCTATGTTGCCTTCCCTTTAAACTGTGTGGGCTGCTTCAACCAACAGAGTAAGGCAGAGTGACAAAGTGTGGCTTCTAACATTTTATCAGCTAAAGGGTCAGCCTCCTTCTGCCTGGTTCTCTTAGGCCACCTGTGCTTGGTGTCCATCTGCCATGCAGTGAGGAACGCAGGGGCTACGTGCAGATGTCCAGTCCACAGGCCCAGCCAGGCCCAGCATGCAGTCCTCCAGGCCCAGGTGCTGACGTGGGACAGAGGCAGAACACCCCTGCTATGTCCTGAGCATCGCAACACTCGGGTTTTTGCACTACTGAGTTTGGGAGAAGGGGCTGTAACCCAGCAGGAGGTAAGTAGACGGGGATTTTGTGACTTTGCCCACCTGTGATCATCATTCCTTTCTCAACACATGTCTGCTGCAACCTGTGAAGGGCTGGCTCAGAACTCGGCCCAGGGTCAAACCCTAGAGCCACTGTTTACCTCTCTCTAGTGAAACAATGGGGCTGGATTAGAACCAGAGAACATTGGCTGTGACCCTCTGCTTCCTCCAAACCACTATACACACCCAGCCCCTGACCACTGGAGTCTGGAGCCTTGAGTCACTAGATGGTATCAAGTCCCATGAGGATCTCAGTTTGGGTAATCCAGGAAGGCTGAATGTAAGAGGCAGGATATAAATTGTAAAGAACAGGCAAAGTTAAAAATAACCATGGCAGGCCTTGGCCAGGTAGCTCAGTCAATTAGAGTGTTGTCCCAATACACCAAGATTGTGAGTTCGATCCCCAGTCAGGGCACATACAAGAAGCAACCAATGGATGCATAATTAAGTGGTAAAGCAAATCGATATTTCTCTCTTTTTCTCCCTCTTCCAAACAAAAACAAAAACAAAAAAAACCAATAAAAAATAACCATGGGTTTAATTTTATATTAAAATATTAAATTAACATTAATTGTGTTAATGAACTTTCTTAACATTAAAACAGTATATATTTAGTATATATTAAACATAACACATGGGTCTTACAGAAATATTTGACAGAAAAAGCATAAAGAAGATAAACACATTTCTTGTAATATCAATGTCCAGAAACCACATTGCTGACCTATTGGAGTCTTTCCTACCTTTCTACTCTAGATCTTGGATCAAGCTGCAACTTTTAGCAAACTTTCCCAATGGCTCAAAGCAGAGACCAGATGGTAGAAAGAAGAGTTCCCATTAGTCGCAGATAAGGTCGTTTGCTGCATGTGGCCCCTGAGGAGTGTGCTGGCTTGTGCCCTTCTTCTGGCCCCCTGCACAGCCCCCAAGGACCAGGTCATCCCAGCAGTTCCCCCTGCCATAGCCCAAATTCTGTCATTCACAGGACAGCCCTGTGGGACACACTTCTGAGTGTGCAATACAGAGCACCCTTCCTGCCATTTCTTGGCTCAATGATCCTCAAGCACAATGACCTCTGCTAACTTAAAAATGGAAGGGCCTTTGAAAGTGAGAGTCAACAAGCATTTACTGAGATCAATAAGAATAGCCACTGGGGATGAGGATGCTCTGATTCAGGCAGAATCTACAATTAATATTCTGATTAGGTGACAAAGGCAACGGGCATTTATGAGAAAGGACAGGACAATTACATCAGTGGAAGACATTTCTGATGGTGCAGATAACATAACACAGTGCTGTTAATTCTCAACAATGTTTTTAATTTTTGGTCCAGTAGTCATCATAACTGCTTTCTTGTTATCTTTGCAAACAGTTCTTTGGGACACAGTGTTTCCCTAGGCCCAGTGCAAAGGTTATTTTGCTGTTTTAACATTGCAAGGTTTGAGGCGTAAGTCATGCAAGGCACTTTCTCTGTCATAGCGGCTCTTGCTCCATTTTAAAGTGACTCCTTTTATATTATTGGAAATCTATGCTTAGGAGGGCAAAGGAAGCCACTTGTCTAAGTGAGCCTGGGACACCATGACCACCTGCCCAACAGATGTCATGTCAGTCTGAGTGTGGGCACTAGGGGAGGAAATTAATTCCTTCACTGGTGGCTTCAAGTGTCCCCAGCAACCTGCCTTCCCCAGGGGACACATTTTTCTTTCTACCCAAGAATATTTGCAGTTCCCCAAGATCAACCTCTTCAGCACCACAAAGGGTCTGGAAACAGAACATTTGGGAGGATGGGATGGCTGGGCCTTTGTGGAGCAGGCTGGGGGTAGCAGTGCCCTCGGCCAGCTGGTCCCAAAGAGCTTTCTTTTGAGGAGACACAGCCTCTTTGCTCAGGGAGGTGGGAAATAGTGAAAAAAAAAAAAATCGATATAAACAACAAGTATTGGTGAGGGTGTGGAGAAAAGGGAAACCTCTAGCACTATTGGTGGGAATGCAGACGGGTGCAGCCACTGTGGAAAACAGTATGGAGGTTCCTCAAAAAATAAAAAATGGAGCTGCCTTTTCACCCAGTGATTCTACTTCTGGGTATTTATCTGAAGAAACCCAAAACACTAATTTGAAAAATACTGTATATGCACCCCTATGTTCACTGCAGCGTTATTTGCAATAGCCAAGATATGGAAGCAACCCGTGCTCATCAATAGAGAAGTGGATACAAACGAATGAAATCTTACCATTTGCTACAGCATGGATGGAGGGTCCCAAAGGAGCAGAGCACCCGTTCTACAAGCACAGAGAAGTTTGAAGAAAGGAATGCTCCCCAGTCCTCACTGAAAACCCCCGTTTGTTTTGTCTGCAGTATTGGACCTAGAGGATGTTATGCTAAATGAAATAATTTAGACAGAGAAAGACGGATACCATATGATTTCACTTATATGTGGAATATAAAGAGCAAAATAAACAAAATTGAAACAGACTCACAGACAGGGAGAACAGGCTGATGACTGACAGAGGGGAGGCGGGTGGGGGCTGGGTGAAAATGTTGAAGGGATTAAGAAGTACAATTTGGTAGTCACAGGAAGTACAGTCAATAATATTCTAATATTTATGTATGGTGCCAGGTGGGTACTAGAAGTATCGAGGGAACACTTTGTACAGGATACGATTGTCTAACCACTATGCTGTACACCTGAAACTAAAACAAAATACTGTTAAATGTAGGCTGTAATTAAAAAATAAAAAAATTAAAAATCGATAGTTTCTGCTAAAAAGTGTTGTGACAGTGCTCTGCAAGGTACCCTCTGATCCGGGGCTTACTTCCATCCACGTGGCTGCACGGCTCCAGCTGTCTCCCCGGCAGACCCCTCGGCCAGGGCCCGGGCGCGGAGGCTGCGCCCCAGCCCAGCGCAGGCCCCGTCCC